GTTCACAGAGTGCTGTGTCCAAGCATATCAATGGAAAGTGTAGTGGAAGGGCAAAATGTGGCAGGAGAATATGCACCAGCAAAAGAGATGACCGTGGGCTTCAGCTGATTATCAAACGGAAAAGATTCCAGAATCTGGCAGAGATACAGAAAGAGTGGAATGAGGCGGGAGTCACAGCTTCAAAAACCACCGCATTCAGATGCATCTGGGAGATGGGATACAACTGTCGGGTTCCTCGGTCCTTTTTTCCGATGAAAGCAAAGTGTGCCTTTCATTCGGAAATCAAAGTCCAAGGTTTTGGAGAAAGAAAGGTGAGGAACAAAGCCCATACTGCTCGAGGTCCAGTGTGAAATATCCACAGTCAGTCAAGATTTGGGGTGCAATGCAGTGCAGGTGTTGGTAAACTCTGCTTTCTTAAATCCAACGTCACCGCAACAGTCTACCAGAATGTTTTAGAGGACTTCATGATTCCTTCTGCTGAGGATCTGTATGGAGATGCAGATTTCATCTTCCAGCAGGACCTGGCCCCTGTCGCCAGAAGCACCAAAACCTGGTTTGATGCTAATGCCATCACAGTGCTTTGACTGGCCAGCCAACTCGCCAGACCTAAACCCCATTGAGACTCTATGGGGTATTCTCAAGAGGAAAATGAGGAGCACCAGACCCAACAACAAAGAAGAGCTGACAGCAAGCATCAAGGACATCTAGGCTTCCATAACTCCCAGTCAATGCCACAGGCTGATTGCCTCAATGCCACGTCGCATCGAGGCAGTGATTAAGGCAAAGGGATTCCCAGCCAAGTATTGAAGATTGACATATCATTTTGAAAGTACCATATTTTGATTGATTTGTTGTGATTCTAATTTGTCTTTTTTTTTCTGCAAAAACTGAGAAGTGTGGGCTGATGTCTTCACAGTATTCTAATTTTTTGAAATCCAGTTTTCTTGGGTTTCATGAGCTGGAAGTCCAAATTATGTTAAAAATAAACAAATAAATAAATGAAGAAGTTTATATTGTGGTCTATTATCTATTAAATATTAACTTTTTGAATGGAATTATTGAAGTTAAACAACTTTTCCATGATATTCTAATTTTTTGGAAAGGTTCTGTATATACAAAAGTAAACAGACATCAGCCTACCATAGTGTATTAACCTTTAACTCAAAATAAAATGCAGACTTAACAGGTTTTTTTTTTTTTAACATACTGAATAATATTTGGTAAATCTTTAGCAAAATTTGAAAACGTGAAAGTTTGCACAAAATCTCTTATGAAGTGTAATTTATAAATCATAAATTTTATCATTTAGAACTGGCTCTAGGCGATGTCTCATCTGGCCTCTCTTCAACCTGTCAAAGACAAATTACATTAAGTTTGTTGTATAACTTGTCTATAAGTTTTAGTATAATATGAGAAAAAAAAAGTTACCTTTGTGGTTCAGCTGCATCAGAGCTTCTCCCACTTTATTTTTGTTTCATGGTGGAGTTGGAGTGCAGCTTTATCACTAAAAAAGCTAGGTGAAGGAATAACGTTGGTTTGGTCCATCCATCCATCCATCCATTTTCTTCCGCTTATCCGGTGTTGGGTTGCGGGGGTAGCAGCTTAAGTAGGGAGGCCCAGACTTCCCTCTACCCAGCCACTTGGGCCAGCCCCTCCGGGAGAATCCCAAGGCGTTCCCAGGCCAGCCGAGAAACATAGTCCCTCTAGCGTGTCCTGGGTCTTCCTTTGGGTCTCCTCCCGGTGGGACATGCCCGGAAACCCTCACCAGGGAGGCATCCAGGAGGCATCCTAACCAGATGCCCGAGCCACATCAACTGGCTCCTCTCGATGTGGAGAAATAGCGGCTCTACTCTGAGTCCCTCCCGGTTGATCAAGCTTCTCATCCTATCTCTAAGGGAGAGCCCAGACACCCTGTGGAGAAAACTCATTTCGGCCGCCTGTATCCGTGATCTCGTTCTTTCGGTCACAACCCAAAGCTCATGACCATAGATGAGGGTAGGAACGTAGATCGACCGGTAAATTGAGAGCTTTGCCTTTTGAATCAGCTCTCTCTTCACCACAACAGACCAGTATAGCGCCTGCTTCACTGCCGACGCTGCACCTATCCGCCTATCGATCTCGCGTTCCATTTTTCCCTCATTCGTGAACAAGACCCCAATATACGTTAACTCCTCCACCTGGGGCACGACCTCCTCCCTGACCCGGAGAGGGCACTCTACCGTTTTCTGGCTCAAGACCATGGCCTCGGATTTGGAGGAACTCATCCTCATCCCAGCCACGTCACACTCTGCTGTGAACTGCTCCAGCGAAAGCTGTAGATCACGACTTGTTGAAGCCAATAGGACCACAACATCTGCAAAAAAACAGGGAAGCAATCCTAAGGCCACCAAAACGGATCCCCTCAACACCTTGGCTGTGTCTAGAAATTATGTCCATAAAAGTTATGAACAGAATCGGTGACAAAGGACAACATTGGTGGAGTTCAACTCTCACTGGGAACGAGCCCGACTTACTGCCGGCAGTGCGGACCAAGCTCTGACACTGGTTGTACAGGGACCTAACAGTCCGTATCAAAGGGCCTGGTACCCCATACTCCCAGTGTACCCCCCACAGGGCTCCCCGAGGGCCACAGTCGAATGCCTTTTCCAAGTCCACAAAGCACATGTAGACTGGTTGGGTGAACTCCCGTGCACCCTCCAGGACCTTGCTGAGGGTGTAGAGCTGGTCCAATGTTCCACGACCAGGACGAAAACTGCATTGCTCCTCCTGAATCCGAAGTTTGACTATTCGACGGACCCTCCTCTCAAAAACCCCTGAATAGACCTTATCAGGGAGGCTTAAGAGCATGATCCCCCTGTAGTTGGAACACACTCTACGGTCCGGTCCCCCTTTTTGAATAGGGGGACCACCACCCCAGTCTGCCAATCCAGGGAAACTGCCCCCGATATCCACTCAATATTGCAGAGTCATGTAAGCCAACACAACCCCACAACATCCAGAGCCTTAAGGAACTCCAGGCAAATCTCATCCACCCCTGGGGCCCTGCCACTGAGGTTTTTTTTTAACCACCTCGGTGACCTCAACACCAGAGATCCCAAAGTCCCCTGGCTCCGCTTCCTCAGTGGAAGACGTGCCGGTGGGATTGAGGAGGGCTTCGAAGTATTCCGCCCACTGACCCACGACATCCCGAGTTGAGGTCAGCAGCATACCACCTCCACTATAAATAGTGTTGGTGGCATACTGCTTCTCCCCCCCCCCCCCCCCACACACACACACACTCTGAACACCACTCGGGTTCAGATCAGGGGGGCCATTCCTCCCAACCACACCCCTCCAGGTCTCACTGTCATTGCCCACATGAGCTTTGAAGTCCCCCAGTAGAACAAGGGAGCCCCCAGGAGGCACACTTTCCAGTACCCCCTCTACGGACTCCAAAAAGGTAGGTAATCTGAGCTGCTGTTTGGCGCATAAGCACAAACAACAGTCAGAACCCGTCCCCCCCACACATAGGTGGAGGGAGGCTACCCTCTCATTCACCGGGGTGAACCCCAACGTACAGGCACCAAGATTGGGGACAACAAGTATGCCTACTCCTGCTCGGCGCCTCTCACCAGGGGCAACTTCAGAGTGGAAGAGTGTCCAACCCCTCTCAAGTAAACTGGTTCCAGAGCCAGAGCCATGTGTTGAGGTGAGTCCAACTATTTCTAGCCAGAACCTCTCAACCTCACACACCAGCTCAGGCTCCTTCCCCACCAGAGAGGTGACATTCCACGTCCCAATAGCCAGCTTCTGTAGCCGAGGATCAGACCGCCAAGGTCCCCACACTCGGCCACCACCCATCCCACATTGCACCCGACCCCTTTGGCCCCTCCCACAGGTGGTGAGCCCATGGGAAGGGGGACCCATGTCTCCTCTTCTGGCTGTACCCGGTCGGGCTCCATGGGTAAAAGCCCGGCCACCAGGGGCTCGCCAGCGTGCCCCACCTACAGGCCCAGCTCCAGAGTGGGGCCCCGGTGTCCCACGTCCAGGCAAGGGAACATTGATTCCATTTGTTTTGCTCATCATAGGTGTCTATGGGCTGCAGTTTGTCTGGTCCCTCACCTAGGACCTGTCTGCCAGGGGTGACCCTGCTAGGGGCATGAAGCCCCTGACAGCATAGCTCCTAGGATCATTGGGACACTCAAACCCCTCCACCACGGTAAGGTGGCAGCCCAGGGAGGAGTCGTTTGGGCCAGCGTATTAAAAAAAAAAAACCTAAACCCCTCGCCTTCGACTGAACTGTCTGCTCGTAAATCCTTTTTGATATAGCAGGAGATTAAGAGGGAAATCTTCACAGCCTTTGTGGAATCAGCTGGAAGTTTGTTGCAGAGTTCGCTGGTCGGCTTCTTTCGCTTTCATCTTTCACACAATTTGTCGTATTTCCAAAATACTGTACTGTAATTTTATTCGACACTTCTTGCAAACAACCATGCTCTTTTTAAGCTCTGTCTTCCTCCGGAACATTGTAGGATCTGAAATTACTTTTAAAGATGTAGGAGCAGGTTGAATCGCGCTGTTCTCCTGCTCCATGCTTGCAGACTCCATTCACATAAAGGGAGCTAGCTAACTAGCTTGCTGTACGGTGGCCTACAAGGCCAAATTCTACGGTGACGGGTGGACATGTAATGTGATATGCAGTACGCTTGGGAGTAGGAGTGGAAAAAATAAAACTTTAACGCGTTTTAAAATCTATTTTTGGGCCGTTAGAATTGATTCAGAATCACCAGGACCAAGAATCTAGAAACTTTAATAAATCAATTTTTTCTGCGACCCTGCATAACGTAGATTAGAACCAAAGGCAGTCTCAAATTCCTGTTGGACTTGAGAACAGAAAGTTGATGAATGATTTCTCTTGATGATAGTTGTTGTATTCCAGAGTTTCGTCATCTGAAATATGATTAGTTAAGGTTAGAATAATATGATAGATGTTTATTTTTCTCCATCTTGTGTTGGTTCCACAGGAGACCTGAGCATCTCTGCAGACAGACTCGGTGAGAAAAAGTCCCAGAATGATTTTGCTTTGTGGAAAGCTTCAAAACCTGGAGAGCCATCGTGGGACTCTCCATGGGGCAAGGTGAGGCTTCAGTCATAATTTACACCATCTGAAATCAGACTTGAAAGATAATTTTGATGCTTTGAATTACGAAGTTATGCTGTACCTTCTTCAGTAATCAAGAAAGAACAAGCGAATTGTCAGAAAAGTACCTGGCAGTTAATTTAATCAGCTGTAATATTTTAAAGCAGACATTTTATTTATGAAAAATCAATTGCATTATGTATAAAGTAAAAGAGTTTTTGAATATCAAAGATTTGTATATATTATATAATGTAATGATTGTTCCATATTTAATCTATTGTATTGAAGTTTGGGGAAACGCGATTAAAACAATTACAAATCCTATTTAAATTTTACAAAAAAAAGTGCTATAAGAATTATTAGTAGGAAGAGCTATGGTCACCCAACAAATATATTTCATCAATTGAAATTGTTAAAATTTTATGATTTGGTTGAATGTAGTATTTTACAAGTCATGTATAAAGCTCTTAAAAAAATATTACCCCCAAATATTCAATTAAAATTTGTTAAAAAAGAGAATCATTTTAACCTTAAGGGAATGGAAATGTTTGTAAAACCTCCATTTAGAACTAGTGTGAAGGAGCTGCGTTATAGTTCAGGGAATAGGATTATGGAATTGACTTAATATCGCCATAAAAATTTCTAAAACAATTTATATGTTTAAAAAGATGATTAACGTAAAGTTGTTAGGAAAGTATACCATGTGAAGAATGCCTGATGTTTTTTGTTTCGCTCTGGGTATCTCAGCGTGACCTCAGCAGAAGTAAGGAGTACCTTCAGGAGGATTAATCCGCACAAGGCAACTGGCCCAGACAACATCCCTGGAAAAGTGTTGAAGGAATGTGCTGATCAGCTCTGTGAGGTGCTGGCAGACATCTTTAACACCTCACTTACCCTGGAGACAGTTCCCACCTGCCTGAAGACTGCCACCATCATCCCAGTCCCAAAAAGCTCTACAGTGACTGGTCTGAATGACTATCGGCCAGTGGCCCTCACCCCGATAGTCACTAAATGCTTTGAAAAACTGGTCATGACACATCAAAACAACCATCAACATCAACAAGGACCCTCATCAGTACGCATACCGTGAGAACCGATCAACAGAGGATCCAATCTCCTCTGTGGTCCACACTGCGCTCAACCACCTGAAGCAGAAAAATTCTTACGTCCGTATGCTCTTTGTGGACTTCACATCCGCCTTCAACACCATGATCCCCCAAACCCTGATGGACAAACTATCCACACTAGGACTAAGCCCCTCCATTTGCAACTGGGTACTAGACTTTTTAACAAACAGACCACAGTTAGTGAGGATCCACAACCTCTCCTCCTCCACCATAACCCTCAGCACTGGCTCTCCTCAGGGATGTGTGTTGAGCCCCCTCCTGTTTACTCTGCTCACATATGATTGTGCAGCTACCCATCCAGGCTGTCACATTGTAAAGTTTGCAGATGATACAGCGGTGGTGGGATGCATCACAAACAATGATGAGTCCAGCTACAGGCAAGAGGTGGAACACCTGGAGAGCTGGTGCAAAGAAAATAACCTTCACATCAATGTGAAGAAGACAAAGGAGATGATTGTGGACTTCAGAAGGAACAAAAACATCTACACCCCCCTGAACATAAGAGGATCTGCGGTGGAAGTGGTCTCCAGCTACAAGTACTTGGGTGTACACATGAATGACAACCTCAGCTGGAGCAACAACACCACCAGCCTGATCAAGAAAGCTCATCAGAGACTCTACTTCCTCAGACGGCTGAGGCGAGCTGGTCTGGGAAGCTCAGTCCTCACCTCCTTCTACAGGTGTGCAGTGGAGAGCATCCTGTGCTCGAGCATCAATGTGTGGCATGGAGGCTGCACAGCTGCAGAAAGAAAAGCTTTGCAGAGAGTGGTGAAGGCTGCACAGAAATCTGTTGGAATCAGTCTCCCCACCATCACAGACATCTACACCTCCAGATGCAGGAAGAGGGCCACCTGCATCATGAAGGACCCCACCCACCCAGCACACACACTTTTTGCCCCACTCCCCTCAGGAAGGAGGTTAAGGAGCATTAAGTGTAGAACCACTAGACTGAGGAACAGCTTCTACCCTGAGGCTGTTAGACTCATGAATCTCTAACTAGAATAATGACTGTGAAAAACCATATCATGTTGCTGCTGATCTGTTTCATGTTGCTGCTGATCTGTTTCAATGTTGATGTGTTCATGCGTGCACATCTGCTCACAGACTCATGTTCATGTTTGTGGTGATGTTCAATGTTTTATGTTATGAGTGCTTAGTGTATATTTAGTTGATGTTTTTCTTAGTTCATATCTTAGATGTTATTACTGTTTTTCTTATACATTTTATTGTTGGATGTAACTGGGACCTTGTGTACATAATTTCGCTCCACCACATGTACCACATGAGGTGCGAATGACAATAAAGAAACTCTGACTCTGACTCAAGCCTGAGTTGTTTGTTTGTTTAAAGTTATTAGGTCCGAGCAGCGAAATGCTGCGGAGGCCTATTGTAATCGCTCTTCAGGCCCGAGCTGCAATTTTTTTCTGCCAAATGAATTGGCGTTTTGGGGGCCTTAACATATCCCAAAAGTCACCAAATTTGGCGGACGCAACAGGACACGAAAAATTACGTATTTTAAGGGCGTGGCAAAAATTGCAACTGAAACGGCTCAAGAACGCCACCTACAAATTTACAAAATACCTTCTGCATTAACCTTAGTTTGCCGTAGAAACATGAAATTTGGTACGCTTGTCCAATTCCCCAAGATGCACAGAAAACCCTCTGGCACCAATGTTGTACGATAAACAGGAAGATGGCCATTTTGAAATGCCGGCCCAATTTTAACACCTTTTTGGCGGTTTACAGCCTCCGCATTTGAACGAACTGCTCCAAGGGATTTCGCTCAATTGGTTTCAAACTTGGCCACTTTGGTCAAAAGGCATGGGGGGACGCAAGTTATCTAAACGGTTTGTTTCGGAGCATGCTGAAGGGGCGGGGCCAGACCTCAAAGTTTGACATCTCGCCGTGAAAAACAAAATGCTAACAGCTCCTACACGAAAACTGTCTGAGATATCAAACCTTCAGTGATTGATCCACATCCGGTCCCCTGCAAGACTGAATGGTCAAATCATGATATCGCTTAAGCCACGCCCCCTGACAACAGGAAGTATAAAGTTTTACGTTGAACGATCCCTATCTGACCCCTGTTACCTGATCAGCATGACAGTGTGTCCAGTGACTGAAGACATGTTGGTGTAATTTGTTTCCAACACTGTCAGTTTTGGATGGAGCATGTGGGTGGAGCGGCGAAGTAAGACGTAAAGCTGTCGCCATAAGTTTGGCTCTAAATTCCAGTTTTGAACCGAGGTGCACCAAAATCAGTATGATCGATCATTATCCAACCCTTGAACAGAAAGCCATGATAAGTGGCCACTAGCCTCCACAGCGCCCCCTAGAATATTTTAAAACCTCAGCCCCAAGCCATTTTTGGACCGATAATTCTGAAACTCAGTGAACATCTGTATCTTCTCAGGACCTATGAAAAAGTCTCTTGGAGCCCTGGGCCAAAACTAACAGAAAGTCGGCCATTTTGGGTCAAAGGGTCATTTTTGGGCGTTTCTTATTGCGAATTTTAACCAACTCCTCTTAGGAATTTTGAAGGATTGCCTTCAAAGTTGGTTGATATGCCCTTAAGACATTGGAGAGTAAAAGTTATCTAAAGCTTGCGTTTTCGTATGTGTTAAAGGGGCGTGGTATCACCTCAAAGTTTCGCTTGACGCTATAAATTTCCAAACACTAACTTTGACATTGAATGACCGAAATGCACGACACTTGGCACAACTAATCCCTGTTGGATGCCCGATGATCCACTGTGGTCATTTTTTGACATCATCAAAGCCCCACCCCCTCGGAACAGGAAGTCACTTTTTTAACTTGGAATGCTCCCGCTTTGACACCATTGACCTAATCAGGATGATCCTGTGTTAGAAGACAGATAATATGGTCCGACTTGATTTAAAGCGCAAACCGTTTTTGCTTGAGGATGTGGGTGTGGCAGCGTGGCGAATTAAGAAGTGACACCTTTGCAATACGTTTGGCTCTAAATTGCACAGATTTCAGCCAAGGTGCACCAAAATCACTATGATCGATCATTACCCGCCCCTTGAACAGGTATCCATGATAAGTGGCCAATAGCCTCCACAGCGCCACCTACATTATTCCAACAGTTATAGCTCAGTGATGCAACATCCGATCTGCACCAGATTTATTGTGCTTCATCAGTGAGGACTTTTAGACACACTGATATTGTTGTTTAACATATGACTCAAGTGCGCTCCCTAGATTATTCAAAATGTTATATCTCAATGATATGTTATCCAATCTGCACAAGATTTTTGGTGCGTGATCAGTGAGCACTTGTATATAAATTTTTATTATTTAACATTTGACTCCAGTGTGCCCCCTAGATTATTCCAAAACTTATATCTCAGTGATATATCATATAATCTGAACTAGAATTTTTGTGCATTATCAGTGACCACGTCTTGACACATTGATATTGTTGATTCATGACATCACTTAAGCCCCACCTACTCATAGAAAAAACTGTTGATTATTGGATGACACTTCCAGCTACGCACTGTGTAAGATATTAGACTGAAACTTTGTTTGCTAACGGTTGATTACCACACTTGACATGTTGAAAAGCATAAAGGAAGTGCTTGTCAAACATTCGCCACAAAACAGGAAGTCACTATAACGCCTTCAGATTTTGCCTATAATTGTAAGACCTGAAGCTGGACAAGTAACAGCATCGACGGATGGTGATGTCGAAGATTAGGGAAATGCGCCCCGTGGTGAACGTTTGCGGGATTGGCACGACAGCGTTTGCGATGGTGACTACGTGGACTAGCTGGAGCTCCCGCGGTCGCCATAAGGCCGGAGCAGCGCTTTGCTGCGAGGGCCTCCAATGCTGCTTGCAGCTTTAATTTTACTTTTTTTTTTTTTTTTAAATAAGGGGCAGATATCAAGTATTTTTCCTTCTTTCTACACCCTTTTCATTCAATGTTTTTTTCTTTTTGATGAATTTGTTTTTTCATTCATTCATTCAACTTTTATTTTGACAGATTAATCACATTGAGCCTCAAAGACTCATTTATATGCGAGACCTGTTTAGACAGACAAAAAGTAGTGAAAATGGACACATGTAGGAATTGTTTATTTTGTTTATTTTAAATGAATGAATAAATTAAATAAAAAAAAATAATAACTGGATATACAGAAAAGTAGTGTGACTTTTAAAAACTGCTTTTGTTCTAATGAATGTTTTTCCAGGGACGACCGGGGTGGCACATCGAATGTTCTGCCATGGCTGGTTCTATTCTGGGGGAGTCCATGGACATTCATGGAGGGGGGTTTGACCTTCGGTTCCCACATCACGACAACGAGCTGGCTCAATCTGAGGTCCTATTTGTTCAACTGTTACAGTACTGTGCAAAAGTCTTCATCCAGTCATTATTTCTTTCATGATTTGCTTCCAAAGAGACAGATTGTCTCACTCCAGACTGAAACTGAGAGGAAAAACCCTCAGACCTTCAGAAAGTCTGAAGAGCTGTTGCTGTAGACACCTTCAACTTATTACAGCAACGTTTAGCTCATTGGAAGGAAACTATAAAGACATCAGGACAGGAAGAAGACATCTAAATATACGGTATTTTGTTGAAAACTTTGGTATTAAGTGCTGGCACAAACTCTTTTTTTTGTCTATTAGCAAAATATAAAATGAACCAATAGAAATGCATGAAAAAATAAGCTATAAAATGCATAAACATTTTTTAATGCACTATTAAAATAAATATATTCATTCAACCTTTATTTAGACAGGTTAATCCCATTGAGCCTCGAGGGCTCATTTACAAGAGAGACCTGATTTCAACAAAGAATAATGACAACAGTGGACAACAATAGACAGTTATAAAAAGGCATACAGTTTTTTATTTTTTACAAATTAAGATAAGATGGCAAAAAAAGTAGCAAAAACAGCTTGATTATAAGGCGAATGTAGAAAACTAAAAACGTTGGTTACGTACTGTACCCCCAGATTCTCTGAGTATAGGCGCAGCCCTTTAAGGCTATCGCTAGTGGGTTTATCCTTTCACACGCAGAGCAGCACTGAAAACTTTAGTCCACGCCCACCTGCTGTGTGGGCCTCACCCCCGGTCCGTATAAATTACGGTGAGACCGGGTAATCGGCTCCCAAATAGCTTTTTTCTTCAGCCATTTAGGAACCAGTGAGGCCCAGAGCTTAAAGGGCTGCGCCTATACTCATAGAATCTGGGGTTACAGTACGTAACCAATGTTCTATTTCGTATAGGCTTCGCCCTTTAAGGCAATCGCTAGTGGGTTAAAGACAAAGCAGGATGTAGTCTATACCTCACTGGGTCCATGCAGATACAATATGAAGCGCCCGCTTGCACCAAAAAACGTTTCGTCAAGTCAGCCTTCTGTGTGCGTAATTACGTGCTGCGTATTTACGCGTTCCATGCACAGGAGCGCTCCGAAGAGAGAAGATTTCCGATGGGGGGAAAAAGGGAAGGCTGAAAAGTAGTCCTACTGCTGAGAATGGAAAAGAACAGAGGTTACGAATTGTAACAGTGTAACAGTGAGCAGAGCTGGTCCACAGCTCTTCAATATGAACTGATTAATAACAAATTAATTGATTAGTAATCAAATGAACTGATTGGTAACAGCAGTCATGAACTGATTAGTAACAATAAAAACAGCAGTCATGAACTTGTGACTGATAATAAATGTCTCACACTGTAATTGCATGTGGTCAGATGTGAGTTTAAAACGAAATTCCATGAAACAAGTAAAATTCATTCTGTTAGAACACTGAGAACAGAATGGGTCATGGAGAAAGCGGAAACATCACGCAGATAAATGCGAATAAATGAACAAGGCGATACAAATGCCGTACAAATGTCCTCCACTGTCACCCCTCCATGCAAAGCTGTAGAGGATGAAATTCCTCTGGTGGATTGAGCCCTAAGAGTCTCTGGAGACTCCAATCCTGATGCCCTGTAAGCTTCAGAAATAGCCTCACATAGCCAGTGTGAGAGGCGCTGAGTGGATAACGGGCGACCAGCAGATGTGTCCCTATAATGCACAAACGGACGCTGAGTCTGACGCAGAGGGGCCGTGCATGCTATGTAACATGCCAGCATGCGCACGGGACAGAGGAGATGAGATAATGCTTGCTTCCTCCTCTGATTTGTGAGGAGGGGGATAAAACCCCTCCAATGTTATCATTTTCAATTTAAATGAGCTTGTGATGTTTTTTGGTATGAAAGCTGGGTTAGGTCTCAGCGCACTGAGCTGCCATCAGCTTGAATCCTGTGGCATGAAGGGACAGCAGAGAGCGCAGATAAATCGCTCACTCTCTTTGCTGATGTCAAAGCCAACAGCAGGGCTGTTTTAAGTGACAGGAATTTAAGTGACACCTGATCTAAAGGCTCGAAAGGAGCTTTGATTGAGCTTCTGAGATTTTGCTTTTGGAAACTTTAATTCCTCTTTTTCTAGATGTAAATCACATTTTTTGGATGATTGTTTCCTCTGGTATCCGATGATGTGCAGTTGGAAATATTTTTACTGAAACTTTTTTAGTTTTGGACATTTGTTATGATGTGTAACCATGGCAACAAGGCAGTTTTCTACAGCCAACAGCAGCTGATTAACATCTCAAAAGCTCAAATAATATCTCAACTATAGCCCAAATCTCAGATGAGTTGAAAAGGATGTTCTGTGGATGCATTTTCATCTACCTGCCAGCTGTGCTCGAGTGTCTGACCACTGAGATCCTGGAACTAGCAGGAAACACGGCTCATGACAGCGGAAGGACAGGATCGTCCCTCAGTACCTACAGTTGGCTGTCCGCAGCGACGAGGAGCTCGCCAGACTGCTGGGAGTAGTGGCCATCGTTCTGGGAGGAGTTCTGCCTGGCATTCGGGCGGTCCTACAGCCCGTGGGAACCGGGCTGTAGGACCGCCCGAATCCCCCGGGCTGTAGGACCGCCCGAATGCCAGGCAGCCTGGGGGAACCGACCAAAAACACCCACTTTTGGTCTACAGAGAACCTCTTCTCGAACCGAGAGGCCAGCCGAGTCTGGGTGGACGGCACCTGCAGCCAGTTTCTTAGGATCCACTGTGGGATGGACCTTTACAAGAGATCCTTCCTATCTACAGCCATCAGTATCTATAACATCTCTTAATGAAATGAGGATAACGAGTTACAACAACAAATAATTTCCCTTTGGGATTAGTAAAGTATTTTTGAATTGAATTGAATTGATCAGAGCTCACAGAACCATCGTTAGGTCCCACTATGGAGCTAGTGGGCGTGACACCTGTCTGTGTCTCCGTACACCTTTTAGGAAATGCTTCATCAGCAGGTGATTAAAAACTGTTCTGTCACCGAAGCCCTCGTGACAAGAAGAAATAGCCGCAGCATAAGTCTTATTGTGCTGAAAGCTAAATTTCTGTCTATCAGCTACTGCATAAAGGACAGCATGCCACCTATTGGACATGAGATGGCCTCTACACATTTCTCCGTGCACCAGCGCTGAAAAGTTGTCCACTTTGATGTCTACAGCGCTGTGGTGGAAGCAGCTCGTGAGTCTTGGATTGTGCACACCACTTCTTGATAGAGACCCATTTTCTCTAAGCGGATCCGCTCAGCGGCCAGACCCAAATGTGCTGGCCTATTTCTGGGTGACTCCTGGTCGCTCCTCCCACCTGGAGGAGAGCATCGTCTCTCCACGGCAGTTTTCACGGTCGGCCCGATAACAGACACTGCAGGTTTGGGAACCACGGGATGATCACGCGCTCAGGGGCTACAAGGATAGCTGACAGTACTTCCTCCTGGACTCAGTTCAGAAACCGTGGTATTAGAGGGACTGGAGGAAACGCGTAAAGGAGCATTTTTGGCCACAGGCTGTGGGCAAAAGCGTCCACTCCTAACGGTGGGTCGTCCCGTGGGCTCAGTGAGAACCATAATGACACTGGACGTTCTCCCGTGTGGCGAACAGATCCACTGCTGCTCGGCCGAACCTGCTCCAAATCGGTGAAGTCAGCTATGAGTTGGAGCATGGAGGCTCCAGTCTCCATGGCGAGGACAGCCCCTGGACATTATGTCTGCTCCTCTGTTCAGGACGCCGGGGATATGTACACTGCTCTGATGGAGAGCAGGTTTTGTCTGCCCAACACAGCAGCTGTCTCGCAATGCATAACAGTTGGGCTGAGCGCACGCCTCCCTGCCGGTTTATGTAAGCTGCAATAACTCTGTTGTTTGTGTGGATCGGAACATGTTGATTCTGCAACAGGGGAGCAAAATGCTGAATCACATTCAAAACTGAGACATTCCAAGATGTTTATATGAGCTGATGTGTGAGGTGGCCACTGCGCCCCCACCGCTTGAGACAGGCACGTTCCTCTCCAGCCTGACAGGGACGCGTCTGTGAAAACTGAGACGTGTGACGTAGGCCTGCTGATAGGAACACCCTCTGACAGAGTGAAAGGGTTTCCCCAGTGATTCAGGTCGGTTCCCACGGAGGGGGGCACAGAGATCATCCGCCTCTTCTGACGCACCGGATCTATGCGCAGGCGGGCGAACCATCTCTGAAGGCCTCTCATGTGGAGTAAGCCCAGAGGAACCACAGCGTGAGCTGAGGACATCGTACCCAAAAGTTTAATGATAGAGACAGCCGTTACTACCCTGCTGGGTTTTACGCGATGAAGCTGAGTTGTCAGAGCTTTGGCTCTCGGCTGTGATAAGCGGGCTCTCATAGTGACTGAATTTAGCTCCACTCCCAGATAAACAATCATCTGGGACAGGAGAACCGAACTCTTTTCCCAGTTTATGGCAAAACCCAGATTCAGCAGGTGTGACATCAGCAATTTGGTTTGTGCAGCTGCTTCCTGTCTGGATCGAGTTAACAGCAGCAGCTCGTCCAGGTAGAAAAGAATTCTCATTCCTGCTCTGTGTAATGGCTGCACCGCCATCTCCACGCATTTTGAAAACGTGCGCGGGGCGAGGGAATAGCTGAACAGGAGCCTGTTGTACTGGTACTGGGTCCCCTGGAAGGAAAAGTGCAGGAACTTTCTGTGCTTAAAAATGATCCATCCATCCATTTTCTTCTGCTTATCCGGGGTCGGGTCGCGGGGGTAGCAGCCTAAGTAGGGAGGCCCAGACTTCCCTCTCCTCAGCCACTTGGTCCAGCTCCTCCGGGGGAATCCCGAGGCGTTCCCAGGCCAGCCAAGAAACATAGTCCCTCCAGCGTGTCCTGGGTCTTCCTCTGGGCCTCCTCCCGGTGGGACATGTCTGGAACACCTCACCAGGGAGGCGTCCAGGAGGCATCCTAAACAGATGCCCAAGCCACCTCAACTGGCTCCTTTCAACGTGGAGAA